CTGCTCCCAGGAAGCCGACTCCCACCTGAGCCAGGCCAGCTCTTGCCATGTCACGCACCTGGGCAGTGTCCCAGCTGGTGGAGGCAGGTGTGGCCCCACTAGGGGTGATGACACCGAGAACGCTGGGGCGGTGGGAGGGATGAGATCTGATTTCTCTCTTTTGCACAGAGACGTGCCCCCTCCTCCCTGCCCACCCTGGGAGGGGCTGCACCCGGAGGCCGTGCTTCTGTGCCAGGCATTCAAAGCCCAGGGGCGTTGCTGCTTGCGTCAGCAGTTCCTGCAAAGTGCAATGGAGTTCTCTGCCTTTGAGATCTAATTGCCTGCCCGTGGCCCTGCGTTCCAACTCCAAAGGCCGTGGCAAAAAGAAGTGGGGGTGGAGACTTTGGGGGGGGGATGCATTTTCATAGAACCAGCGGAGATGAGCCAGTTTCAGCTTTGGACACTGTGCTTTTTGGTGGGGGGTGGAGGGGGGGAGGACCAATTTCAGAAACAACACCAGTCCAAGAATAGCCTGGCCAAGAGAGAAAGGTCCGCAAAGGCAGCTTCTGTCCGTGATGAGAAAATGGAAATCGCAGGCAGAGGCCGAAAACTCATTCTGCCAGAATCTCCAACGATCTCCAGAATAATCGTGCCCGTCTCTCGAATCACGAGGTGCACAGTGACAGCCCCGGGTTTTCCTAGGAGGGTCAGATGGGTGCATTTTTTTAATTGGCCTCATTTCCAAGCAATGTGCTTGCCCTGCTGCTTTAATCCCAGCCCTGTGCCCCAGCAGCAACGCCTCGTAGCTCCTCGTCTCTTGCAAGCAAATGCAGCTTCTCCATCGGGAACCAGCAACCCCGCTCCCTCTCTTGCAAACGGGCTTCTTATCAGAGGACTGATCCGCTGTGGGTGAACTTGCATTTCTCTTGCATAAGAGAGCAATTTCCCAAAGAAGGAAAAAAAAAAAAGGAGGAGGAAATCAAACTGCTGGCTGCTCCTTGTTCCCATATTAACATCTCCAGCCTCCGCTCCTGAAGATAATGGGAAAGAAGTGGCTTTACATCACAGGACGGATATCAGTCCTGCAGGCGCCTCTAAGAGGCAGAGGGTTTCCTCGCATTTGTTTTATTTGGATGGAAATCACAAGAGGGAACAAAATCTCGGACAATTTTAAGGGCTCCTCCAGGCAAAATGATAACTTTCTGATGAAATCTCCAAGCAGGTTAAAAGTCAACCATGATTAACAAATTAGAAATCTCCGCCATTATAGCTAAATATAAATTAGCAGGGGCTGGCGTCGTGGTGCAGTAGGTTAAGCATCCCATATGGATGCCAGTTCAACTCCTGACTGCTCCACTTCCAGTCCAACTCCCTGCTAATGTGCCTGGGAAAGCAGCGGAAGATGGCCCAAGTCTCTGGGCCCCTGCCATCCACGTGAGAGGCCCAGAAGAAGTTCTTGACTCCTGGCTTCTGCCTGGCCCCAGCCATTGTGGCCATCTGGGGAGTGAACCAGCAGATGGAAGACCTCTCTGTCTGTAACTCTGACTTCCAAATAAATAAATGTTTATTAAAAGGGAGCATGGCACTAGACACTCTAGGAAATGGATATGCCACATAGGAATGGAATCGTCTGGTTTTACAAAAGAAGCTAGAAGTCTATAGACGTTGAGCTGAAGTTGCTTGATCTTTAAATTGTGGAAACCAGCATGCTGTCTCCCAAGCAGCTGCAGAAAGGCTGTGAGCACCGGGCAGCCCTGCTTCCTGGCCACCCCCACTTCCACCAGGACACGCCCACTCCAGGCTTCTTCCTCAGCTGTCTCCAGGGCCTTCTGGAACCCAAAGAAGGTGCTGGCTACTGGGCCAGTTTCTGGGGCTCCTCTAAGTCTTGCATATTCCTGGGCTGTGGGCATCAAGAAATTGGGATCAGCGTGTTTCGCCAGCAGCTCAGCCCTACCACTGGACAGTAGGGCCTTGCAGCGGGCAGAGGCCAAAGCCAGCTGGTCACTTTCCAGGGCAGAAGCCAAACAGCACACCCATCATCCCAGGAACACTGCCAAAACCTCCCACCCTCTTGCTCCTCACCAGGGTGCACAGTGATGGAGACACCAGGGATTCAGTCCCTTTAATGCCCCTTCCCCTCCAGGCTCTGCTGTGCCTCTGAGCACCACAGCACCCTCCACCCGTTCGCTCTATAGAGACAGAGTGCAGGCTCAGTCTGTGCAGGCAACTTGAGGAGGGCTGGAGGCTGAACCTACCCCCACCCCCTGGAGCTCCTCCAATCTCCAAGCAAGTGATACTGGGCATCAGTGTGTCCGGAAGGAAAAGAAAGGACAGCGTGTGATGGAGCCAGGTGCTCATGTGTGGGAGGGAGCAGAGCCCTAGGGAGCGGTTTTCAACCCAGAGCCCCGTGATGGGATGTGCAGAGAAGGAGGAAGGCCCCGGTGGCTGTTCCATGAGGACAGACGGGGCGGTGGGCGCTCCCTGGTGGGTGGCTGCTACAGGGGCCCAGGAGGAGGCGTGGAAGGAGGGTGGTGGCTTGCCGTGGGCAGTTTTGGGCTATATTTAGGAGGAGTTGGTGGCAGTTTGGACGAGTGAGTGGGCAGGGGACAGGCTGCTGCCTGCCTCTGTGGCTCGTGGTGCCTGTGCTGAGGCGGGGACTCCTGGGGGCGGCAGGGGCAGTGCTGAAGCAGCCTAGGCAGCTGCATCCCACCAATGCGTTCCCCCAGCACTTTCCTCTCTCTGCCAAGGTCTGCGTCAAATGCTCCTTCCTCGGGCCCAGACATCACCATCACCATCCAGCAGCACCTGGCTGCAGGTTCTAGGCAGACCTGCTTCAGCATAGCCCTAGGCAACCACCCAAGGAGAGGCCCACTGTGCCCAGGCTACACAGGGCCAACATCTGGACCCCTAAGCAGGGCTGTCGTGTACCTACCCCCATGCACCTGTTCTTGATGAGCTCAGTGGTGGTGGACCAGACAGAAGTGCCAGGCAGGATACTGAGGTCAGAAACAACAGCTCCAGCGGGTAGCTCGTCTGCACCAGCTACTGGATCTTCTCTGGCACAAACTGCATGTCGCTGGAGCAGTCACAGATGAAGATATCAGAGAGCTCAGGCACTCGGCTCAGGGGGTCATCCGCCAGCTCCGGTGTCCGCGGAACACTGCTGTCTACAGCCGCCACCTGTAAGGGCTTCTCACAGCCCTGTCGCTGGCAATCCTCCTGGATGCAGGGGCCCAGCTCAGACAGTAGGCTCTAGCGGCCAAGCACAGCCACCAGATCGAGCAGGTGGTCCACCCAGGTGCTGGGGAGACCCTACCAGGCATCCAGCAAGCTAGTCCACTGTGGGGTGGGTGTATGTCTCCAGCAGCCAGATCTCCAAGAACAAGAAGCCCACTTCCCTGGCCAGCGCACTCCAGAGGGGCAGTCACCTGTATGTGCATGTGCGTTGCCGCATGCACAATTTGAAGTTGAGCCCAGCCAGAGGCAGGAAGGACAGGGAGCGCCAGGGGCTGTGTGGAGCACCGTGGGCTGCATGCAGGAGAAGGCACTTACGGCTTGTTTGCTGCCAGGGCCCGCACCTGCCCATCAAAATCAATGTTTTTGGATTCCATGTACAAGTAAGGGCATGCAGCATTTGTCCTTCTGTGCCTTGTTTATTTCATTGACATAATGTCCTCCAGTTTCATCCATGTGTGTCATTTGAATAATTATACCCTGTGTTATGGCTGAATAGTATTCCATCGGTATGCCTACCACATTTTCATTGTCCATTCTTCCATCAATGAACCCCTCGACTGGTACCACATCACAGCTTTTGCTACTGCCCTTTTCCATGGAACCTGAGCTCCATGGCCCATCTCTGTCCCGACCACTGTGACTAACACTCATTTCCACTGTCCCCTTGGCCCTGTTGACCCTGGTCAGCATCTAAAGTGGGCAGGCAGCTTTCAAATAACCTGCTGCGGGGTGATCATAACTGTGTCGATGAACTTGAAGGCAACGCCCAGTGAGTGAGTTCCAGGAACCACCTGGCTCACCTTTGCCACCCTCCAGGGCACGGCAGTATGCCTTACACAGAGCCGATGGGAGAAAGCTGTGGTCGTTGGCATTGTCTCTGCCAGGACAGACTCGGAGATACACGAGGGTCCTTCAAAGAGTTCATGGAGGGGTGGGTGTTTGATGCAGCACTTCGGCCGCCGTATGGGAGGCCCACATGGCAGGGTCTGAGTGCAAGTCCCAGCTCTGCTCCTGATTCCAGCTTCCTGCTGGTACACACCTTGGGTGCAGCCATGATGCTTCTGTCCCTGTCACTGACCTTGGAGGCCTGGATGGAGTTCCCAGCTCCAAATGTCGGCCTGGTCCAGCAGCAGCTGATGCGCACATTTGGGAAGTGAACAAGCAAATGGAAGACTGATCTCTTTCTGTCTCTCTGTGCCTCTCTCTCTCTCTGCCCTTCAAATAAATAATATTTTTTTAAAAATCATGTGAAAATAGCATTAAAAGATAAGTTTATTTTGGTGCAAAGACATATTTTGAAATCCATGCATAGTTTTTTCCTAAAGTGCATTTTCCATGTATACGTGGGATCTCCAAAAAGTTCATAGACCATGCAGATTCTCATTTGATTCCATCTGCATGGGCTTTTGGACATGTCCTGTATGTTCCCAAAGCAGCAGGTGTGTTCCTTATCTAGCCCTAAATAGACGAGCACCCCCTGAGGGCAAGGTTGGCTTCCCTCACCCAGCAGCACCGAGGTTTGCCACAGCACTCAGCACGCAGAGCCCCACAGCCCTTTATTCACTGACATCTTCAGTGTTGTGGAAAGGATAAAACTGACCCATCAGACAGACCTGCGTGCAAGTGGAGATTCCAGCCCTTAGCAGCTGCACCGTGGGCAAGGCATGGGTCTGGGTCCAGGAGAGGAAGAGGCCACCAGCAGGTTCAGAGCAAGGATTTACTATTGAGCTTGTTTTCCCACAGTGTGGGAGAAGGAAGGTCTGGAGTGGGCGGTGGAGGGTCTGAGGACCACCAGTCGATTGGTCTAGGGTGCCAAGGGAGCTACTGGGAGGGAAGCCAGGTCTGCTGTTAAGAGTGAGGGTGGGCAGGAAGAGCTGGACACAGACCAGCAGGTGACAACCACCCCGGGACACCTGCTGGCATCTTGGTGTCTCACTGTCACCACAGCCAACGAGGCTGGTCTCAGAGAGTGGTGGCCACTGCTCCCCTCTCTGTACAGATCCCCACGGGCAGGGCTCTTTTAGTCAGCTCAAACCAGAGCCACGTGGGGAAGGGGGTTCTGACCACCTTCACACAGTGTAAAGCACTGAGGCCAAGTATTGGACCTCCCGGACCCTCTGTTTGCTCATCCAAGAAATGGGCACATGGATACTTAGCACAGGCTCTAATCTACGACAGCACTCGATTAGTACTTATTAACTCTTCCCTGTTGCCATGGCGGTGCCTTGAAGAATTTCCCTCCACAAAGCCCAGGGCAGTGACCTCTGAGGGCTGCCCCAGCTACATTTAAAAATCTGGAGTTTTGAACACCATGAAGTCACACCGTACGGGAGTGGACTAATATCCGGTGCTAGAGTAGTTCGCAAAACCAGATCTACCTGCAGGATAACGCGCTTTGGAGCTCATTTCCCATTTCCCGCTGGGCCTGTTTCCAGGGTCCTACTGACGTCACAAAGGGACAGGCATCATCCGAGCCACCCCCGGCAGCCTGGGGAGAGCAGGAATCCACAGCGCCTGGTTGCAGTGTGCATCCCCGGAGGGTCAAACCCTGTGAACGCGTTGCCAGGAAACAACTTCCATCCGGGAACTTGAGGCATCCTCTTGCTGCGAGGACGGCGGAGCCGCCCCTGTGGGATGGATGGGCTGCCTCCTAGGTTGGGGCGGGGAAGCCAGGGAAGAAGGAGGGGGTTTTCGGGGACCTGGGTGCTGGACGGGAAGTGGACTCCGGAATCCATGGCAACTCAGACTTGACTCACTTGAAGGCTGACTTCAAGCAGAACGAGAAGGGGCAGCTTCCTCTGAGCATCTCCCTGATCCTTCCAGGTCAGACAAGAACTGGGCTGAGTGGGCGGGGCGTGTTGGGAAGGACCCACCTCCTCCAGACAGGGAGGGGAAGGGACCAGCCCGAGGTCACCCCCGGGGACAGCAGCCGCTCAGCCAGAAGAGCAATGGGCTGTTCGTTCACTCGGACAGAGATCTGTATTGCGCAGCAACTGTGTACCAGGTGCTGTTCTGTCTGCCGAGGATGAAGCTGGGAGTTAGGGCAAGGTGCCTGGCCGCACAGGAAGCACTGAGTGCTAATTTTAGGGATGCGGTTGGCCCCCTGGAGACGCTGGTTCTCCATCTGTAGAGCCAAACACTGAACATTTTTTTTTTAATTCCAGAAAGGTCCAAAAAGCAAAACTTGAATTTGCCCAATGTCAATTACTACACAGAACTCACACGAATGAAGTGATGTGTGATCATTAGATATACAAGGGTCTTCAAGAAGTTCATGGTACGTGTGTATTATGAAAAAAACTATGCATAGATTTAACCTTTTTGCATTAAAATAAACTTTATTTTTTAAAAAAATTATTTGAAAGACAGAGTTACAGACAGAATCTTCCATCCTCTGGTTCACAGCCCAAATGGCCACAATGGCTGGGGCTAGGCCAGGCCAAAGCCAGGAGTCAGGAGCTTCTTCCAGGTCTCCCACCAGTGCAGGGGCCTAAGCACTTGGGCCAGCCTCTGCTGCCTTCCCAGGTGCCCTGGCAGGGAGCTGGATGAGAAGTGGAGCAGCCGGGAATGGAACCAGAGCCCATATGGGATGCTGGTGCTGCAAGTGGCAGCTTTATCCACTACTCCACAGTGCCAGCCCCATACACTTTTATCTTTTAATTCCACTTCCCATGAACTTCAGAATACCCTCATATAGGTCATCCAGCAATGATGTAAAGTAGATGGATTCCTCCCATCCACATGGGGGACATAAATTGATATCCCAGCTCCTGACTTTGGCCCTGCCCAGCTCCAGCTCTTGCAGGTATTTGGAGAGTGAAACAGAGATTTGGAGAGTGAAACACTCTCTCCCTCCCTCTTTCTGTATTTCTTTGTCATGCCTCTCAAATAAAAAAAATAAAAATGTTTTAAAAATGTGTTTGGGTGGGCTTTGGTGCAGTGGCTAAGACGCCAATTGGGATTTCTGTATCCCATATTGCAAGGTCTGGGTTCAAGTCCCTGCTCTGCTTCCAGTCCAGCTTCCTGCTGATGTACATCCTTGGAGGCAACAGGTAGTATCTCAAGTACATGGCTCCCTGTCACCCATGTGAGAGACCAGGATGGAGTTCTAGGCTCTTGGCTTTGTCCTGGCCCAAGAGCTCTTGTGGACATTTTGGAATGAACCAGCAGATGGAAGATCTCTCTCTCTCTCTCTGTCTCTTTCCTTCTCACTCTGTCACTCTGCCTTTCTTGTTTTAACATCCAGTCTATTTTTTAAATGATAGAGTTACGTATTTGAAAGGTATAGTTACTGAGAGAGGGAGGGAGAGACAGAGAGAGAGAAAAAGAAAGATCTCCATCCACCTGTTCATTCCCCAAATGGCCACAATGGCCTGGGGTAGGCCAGGCTCAAGCCAGGAGCCAAGGGCTTCATCTGAGTCTCCCACATGGGTGGCAGGGACCCAAATACTTGGGCCATCTTCCACTGCTTTCCCAGGAGCATTAGCAAGGAGCTGGATGGGAAGTGGAGCAGCTGGGACTCCAACGAGCGCCCCATGGGATGCCGGTGTCACCAGCAGCTTAATGCACAGCATCCCAGTGTCGGCCTCAGCCATGCTTTCAAGTAAACAAACGTTTCTTTTTTAAAAACTATCAGGGCATGGAGATCCAGTTTGTTTTTGATGCTGCAGAGTATTCCACCGGATGGTGTGGGTTCCTTGCTGATGGCCATGCACAGACGTCCACTTACTTGCCTAATCAAATACTGCAGCGGTAACTTCCCCAGTATACACCTTCTGTTATATATCAATCTGCATAATCTTGTGAGTGTGCCAAACGATATTAGGGAGGCTTAAAATGATGTATTTCTGGACCCTCTCAAAGATATTCTGATTTCATTTGGCCTGGAATGATGCCCAAACATCTGAATTTTGAAAAGCACCCATATAATTTAGATGGATATCCATACTCAGAGTCCTCTGGTTCATCCTGTAAAGTAGACATGTGCCATTCTGTGAAACGGAGTGGCCTGTTCCAACTTCTGACTCCTGCATCCAGTCTGGCCCACTATTGTCCCCAGGGCAGGGCTTAACACAGCCATAGCTAGCGCCCCTACACACACACCTGGCCTTCTGCAAGGGTCAATAACGATGACTCAAATGGCCAGGGAGCTGGGCTCATTCCAACCAGTCTAAACTTCACTTAGCTGTGTTGTTCTTCACCTCCAAGGGACAGGTAAGCTGCCAGTACCAGCGGCTGCTTCATGAGGAGAGGAGCTGGGCGGGCAGGAGTCAGGGCAAGGAAGGAGATGCTTTGGTGACCATCATAGGGAAACCTGGAAAAGCTCCTGGCTCCTGGCTTTGGCTTGGCTCAGCGCTGGCTGTTGCAGCCAATGGGGGAGTGAACCAGTGGTTGGAAGACCTCTCTCTCTTTCCCCACTCTCTTTCTGTAACTTTGACTTTCAAATAAATAAATAAATCTTTCTGAAAAATTAAAAATAGGAAAAAGCAGTCTTTGAATAGACCCCCAGAGATTAATGGGCTAGACCTATCTTTGACATTTATTGGGTTTTCATGAGCCAGTGGCTCAGACTTTGAAAGTCAATCAGATGTTCCAAATCCATGGCCGCTTTGGGGTGCTGTCTTTCAACAGAGCCATAATGAGGCGACTCTGGGTGCCCAGGTCCAGAAAGAACAGAGAGAGGATGTCAGAATCTCTGAATTTGCAAAACTGATCAAGGACAACCCAGCACCCCTGGGCCCTCTCCTGGCCTGAGACGCTCTGCCCGTAGCTTCTATAATTGACATTGCTCCGCCTCACCCAGCCCCCTCAACAGTTCTCTTTCCAAAACAACCCTGCAGCCACTCAACAAACATTTGCAGAAATGCTTCATCTTAATGCCACTCAGTAATTGAACACAGGGGACTTAGGGGAGACTGTGACAGAAGTCCCCTTGTCCTCTACCAACTTAGGGTCTTGGGGGGAGACTCAACTCCTGTGAAGGCCCCGCACTAGGGTGGGCAGAGAGGACAGGAGGAAAGCAAAGGCAGGAGGGCTGGAGGCCAGCTGACCCTCCAGGAAATCGCAGAAGCTCCCCAAAGTAGAGGGGATTTGGTTGGATTCTGGAAGCTCCCCAGACAGGGGGAGAAGAAAGAAGGCATCTGCTGGGACAGAGTGTGTGCAACACACATGGAAGCACAAAGACACTGATACGAGGGCTGCAGAGTCACTCTGGCAAAAAGCTCCATGTAGGCCACGGAGAACGGGAAAAGATAACGTCCCAGGCTGCTGGGGACAGAGCACCCCATGGAGCTGCTGGGACAGCAGTGTCTGTTCCGATTGGAAATGGGCGTGATGGTTGACTCAGACAGTCCATTCCTGGACTGGAGCCTATCAGCACTGAAGACAAACTCAGAAATGAGAGAATCCAAAGCTATCCTTCCCCTGACATTGCTGCAGCACTGTGGGCAGAAGAAGAGAAACTCCCTTGATATCTACTGACAAGGGACTGGTGAAATAAACATGGCAGCCCTGTATTGTGGACAGAGAGGACTGTGTCCACTGGCCTGTAACTGCAAGCCTGTGTGACCATGTGAAATACATACTTGGTCTCTATCCCCATTTTCTGGCGTGTGTCTCCTAAAGTCCTCAGCATGGCCCAAGTGCTAAGTGTCTTCTGTATACTAATGATGTGGCTGGAGGTTCCTGCTACCCTCACGCTGGGGCCTGATCACCTGAGAGTCCAAGCAGGATCAGAGGGTTGGGACTTCCAATCCCACCCCCTCCACCTCTGGGAAGGGGAGAGGGATTGAAGGTTAACTCCATCACCAGTGGCCAAAGATTTAATCAGTCCTGTCCAGGTAATGGACCTCCATAAAAACCCAAAAGGACAGGTCAGAGAGCTTCCATTACAGCCAAACACATAGAGGCTCCCAGAGGATGGTATGCCCCGGAAGGAGCATGGCACCTCCTGACGCTCTCCTGTACCTCGCTCTAGACAGCTCTTCAGTGGTATCCTTTGTAACATCCTCTACAGCAATCCATGGAATCACGACAAGCAACAGCTCATTATTGTTCCAAGCCACCGTGCTGCTGGCTGGTTGCTTTCAAGGCCAAAGGAAACTGAGGAACCCCAGACCTCTTTACTGTGGTCTTGACAGCACAAGTTTATGGAGAGTTCCACCAAGCAGAGCTTTCTGAAGTTTTAACTCAGTTTCCATAGAAACAAGATTATCGCTCTCTCTCTCTCTCTCTCTCTCTTTTCTTTTTTTGGACAGGCAGAGTTAGACAGTGAGAGAGAAAGACAGAGAGAAAGGTCTTCTTCTGTTGGTTCACACCCCCAAATGGCTGCCATGGCTGGTGCGCTGCACCAATCCAAAGCCAGGAACCAGCTGCTTTCTCCCGGTCTCCCATGCAGGTGCAAGGCCCAAGCACTTGGGCCATCCTCCACTGCCTTCCCGGGCCACAACAGAGATCTGGACTGGAAAAGGAGCAACTGGGACAGAATCCGGCGCCCCAACTGGGACTAGAACCCTGGAGTGCCGGTGCCGCAGGAGGGGGATTAGCCTAGTGAGCCGCGGCGCCAGCCAGATTCTCTTTCTTTTATACCACAATTGCACTGATGTATAAAATATTTGATAAGAACCCCAAATTGCAATTACAAGCACCATGGCATAAACAAGGATAAGGACCCACACAGTCTGACTCTGGTAACCCTGGAAGTCGGCTGGAGGGAGCAGGAGGGGGCAGACCAGTTAGAAAGGAGCCCATAGGCCAAGAGCATCCAAAAGAAGGCTCACCAAGGGAGAACAACGGAGAGTCCAGGAACTCTGGAAAAGAGGTGG